CAATAACTTTCAATGACCAGTATTAAGTTTTGACTGAGGCAGTACCTCATTCAAAAAAGATACGTATCAAATTTTTATACCAGGCGTGCATGTTTAAATAAGAAAATCAAACTTTTTCTCTGAACTTTTGGATGCGACCAGGAGTTGCTCGTTTTCAAGAGTACCGTTGTTGTTAGGCGTGGAATATTCATTAGGTGGTCGAAACGGAAAGAACTTGTTCCAACATTTCTGCGATCATCTTAAGGCGCTCATTGACAGATCCAAAGTTATTCATTTGCATTGCTTCACGATTGTTAATCAACAGAAAAATGACTGAATGCCCTACACAGGTAGCAATCACGAGTGGTTGTTTAGTGGAAGGATTCGCAACATTTTTTAGCAAGGCGATGGAGTATTATGTGAGCGAACAATATGAGGATTCACGTTTGCAGTCATTAGCAAATTGTATCTTCGCTGGATTCATTACAGCTATTGGTCAGTTTTATCCGATTCGTCTCATTTCATTTGACCTGTTCGTTTAGTTAGAAACTATTAGCGATAACTTAATCAATTGATGGTAGTTAGTATAGATTCATGAGGAGGCAATGGGCTCTTGGTAAGATTTCTGATAAGAATATAGTAAATTGTTGATATTATTTATTCACCGACCATGAGATTGGAGACAGTTTCAGAGAGAAATTGAATGAGTGAATGTATTTGAATGAAATATGCATAACTGAATAGAATTTGAATCGGTGGCCACCAAAGAAAACCGAGAAACACTTAAAGATGATTGGTTACCAATAGGATACTCGCTGGATGAGTGGAGAGGAAAATACTCTAGAGCTGATAATGATTGCAGGCATAAATCTGACAGGAATGTACGCAAATCCGATAGTGGCATGGGCATGTACGTTCAACTGTGAGGGTACAACACATGTAGCGCATTTGATTGTCTATTGGTTATCACCATTGGTCGGATGGTATTTTGCAGAGGCTGTGTACGGTAAATGTGATGATCAGTGTTTAGTGGATGTTGATGATAGTCAGGACTCGAAAGATATTTCTACAAAATTAGATTAATCTATTCAATTCCTTGTGTTTATGCATTTAAAATTATTCAATGAAAACATCAAAAAAAAAAAAAAAGAAAAAACGAACAAACAAATAACTTCATTATTAAACGAAAACAAAAACGTGTTATATTGAAATGCGTTGAATTTCACAATAATCATAACACGACTAAAAAGAGAACGAACTAAATCAATGGAATACAAACGGATATTACGAGGTGAACTTGCAACTCTGAGTCCTTACAGACTCTATCATTGGTGCTGTCGTCAAAGTTTTTGGGTTTCTCTCAGCAGCTGCATATACTCAACTATGAATGTATATTCTCCTCCTCAAAATTTCTTTACCCGTTCCCGGGAAGACCTTCGGTAAAAGTTACTTAACCAGTGAGTCACGAGAATACGATAAAGCTTGAAATAACAACAGCGGCATCAACATTCAATTTCACTTCACTCATCGCTTCACTTCATTCATTATCTCATTTGCGTTTTTCCATAATCATCCCGACGACGCAATAAGTTTTTCCACATTCATATCAGATCAGGAAATATGCTTGTTGATCAAAAAACAAAGCTCATGCTTATCGTCTTTGTGTTCATCCGCTTTGCTCGATCAACAGATATCAGTGCTTTTTCATCGTCAGTCTCAAAATCGAAACGATTCACGTTGATGTCATTGTGAACCGACCCCGTTCTGTCACGATTAAGCCAGCATTTGACATTGTAGCCATCGAATGAAACAATGATTCTATCTCTATCATCATATTTACCATCAGCCTTCTTTTTACTCATCCTCTAAACCGGGTAATTCTTAATTCCACAATATCATATCAACCCGGGATCACTTCTATTTGCTTGCCGAACATAAATACGAAAGGATCTTTTGTTTGAGGACGAATTGTACGCCTCACTCTTCACTTCGATTTATCCATCCCATCAGTTTCTTCGAAGAGAGAATGTTTAAAAGTTTCCTGCTCGTTTANAGCAAATCTTCCTTCATGAATTCATTCATCTGGTTGGCATCACCATTCAACGATTGTTGGTTTTGTTCAGTATGAAAGTTTCTTCACGTTGTGTGAAGAAACTTTGGATTCTGCCAATCGCTCCTTGTTGTAGATCTCACTAGCACACCATCTGCCACTATAAACTCTTGAAAATATTTTCCTTTCATTTTGCTTATTATCATCAACAATTAATACCAAACTTGAACGCATTTAACGATTGGCGTTCTGCTTACTTTATCGCCATTAGAAACTAATTCATTCACTTCAGCATTCACAGAAATTCGAAATTCTGTGGGGTATTGTTGTTGTTTTTTTGCAGAAGAACGGTCAGCTGTTGTGTGAGTTGATAAATAGGACAAAACAAACGACTAAACAAGTGAGCAGCCACAAAAACATTGAAGCAATCCTTCCAACAAATTTGTTCAGCAATAATTCTATTTCAAACACTTTACAATGCATATTGTTTTCATTACATGCAGCACCATTTATTATCACACTTATTTCATTTTACTCATTATTTATGGCACTAAAAACGCCATCAATAACTTTCATCGTATGGAAGTGAAAATTTTTGTGTTCAAAATAAACACATACAAGTCAAGCCTATTCTTCTATCTGAATTCAACAAAAGACCCACTGCAAAACTGGTTAAGCCTCTTCATTCCATCAGTCAATGTCGGCTTATGAAAGCCAACCCCACCTAGAATCCTTTTTCTCGCTGCAGTATGCAATCTTTTTCTTCAAAATAGTCTTATTTTATGTTAATTCCAAAGAATTGATGCTGTTCATCAGAACTGAATGCTGATAAATCGGAATCTAAGGGATTCGGTAATAATATTCAATTAAACAGTCAAAGAAAATGTGTATTCAACAAAGCAGGATCAATAAACAATTCGTTGAAGTGTCAAGCACGAATATGTACATATTAAAAATAGACGAACAACTCCACAAAAAAGTTGAATTAATTGAGTAAAAGTAACAAAACGTCAGTTTATGACATGAATGCGCTTGGTGAAACGCAAATCTTTTGATATTCATAATCACAATCTATAGTATGATCCTTGATACTGGTGAACGAACGCTTTTTATTCTCAAACTTCTGCATATAACACAATCACTTGAATTGAGAATAGCACCGTAGAGAGCACACAAAACAACGAAATTGTTCATGAACGAATAACATAACATCAAATACTGTTTCATCGAGAATGATAACACAGCAAGTCTTAACCGTATTCGAACAGTTCAAACTCAGCAGAATGACCCCACATCCTTCTGTCAACACTGTCACATCTACACGTGACATTCTGATTATTTCGTGCCGCATCGATGAACGAAAGCTGAATGGCATCATAACGTTTGTTATAACTAACATCGGTAAGCAGCCACATCGCCTCGACATTCCATCTGGCAATTCGATAGCGATCACCGATTCTATAGTACAGATCAGTGCTTGACAATCGTCGAAATTGCTCTAGAGGAAGCGAGAATCCACAAGAGCATTTCATACCAGGAATTAACGCTATCGTTTTATTGAACTTATGCCCAAAGCCGTCCTTTTGCTTATTTTTGTAGCAAACAAAACTTTCTCGTTTAGCGATTCTCCTCTTCTGACTAGCATTCATCTCTTCGTCATCGCCCTTCCACAAGTTTTGATCCATTTCATTTGATCTTAGATTCATCGATTCTTCATTCCGCTCATTGCCTCCATCTTCAGTATTGTCCCTCAAAAAATGTTCACTTTCCTCATTCATTTGTGTGCTATAAATGCGTTTACGTTCATCACTTGTTAATGGGGACTTAATTTGATTCATCTTTGACGCAGATAGCTCCTGAAAGCATTTCTTCTGAACTGTATTGCGACACTTCAACGCGAAGAAAATAAAGGTGCAAGGAATGCTTTACATTTCTTGCAACAATTCATTCATTTAGGCAGTAAAATTTCTTTTAGTTATAATTAAGGTATCAGTAGGAATGCTAATAATTACATGAATAATATCTCCAATAATGATAAAATTTGGTGAAATCTTGCGTCGTAATTTTGGCTTCACGTTTTAAAAATAATGATAACTGAAATGACTCCATGATGTGCCGAGGTCTTTTAGTGTGGAGTCGAAAAACTTTGTTGATATTTGTTTCATGAACAATTAGGCCAAAACCAACCAGCAAACAAATGAACAATAGCAAAAACATTGATATGATTGTGCTTTCGAATTGACTCATTTACATTTCTAAAACTGAATCATTTGAGTAATGATGAGAGTAATTTCTTGAAAATTTCAACATTATTACTGAACTCAATATAGCAGTCAAAAGTAGCAGAAGTGTGTGAACGACCTTGATAATAACCCACGAAGTTTAGGCATTCATTCTTGTTTCGGCCGAGAAAGTTTTTCATTCAACGTGGAATAACTCAGATTGTTCCCTTATTAAGATCTATTGAATAATTCCTTTTATTAAGATGCAACAAATCTAGTTTTTACCAAGTAAATCTATGATACTATTCACAATCTTCAAGTCCCACTGTTTCATTCCGAACAGCACAATTTATGAGCTTTAAGAGTTTCAATGTCAAATTTGAAGAGCACACGCACCCTCAAACAGGATAACAAACCA